CTGCGTTAAATATTCGGTCGACAGCAGAGTCGTTAATTTGAGCAAACATGGATCGGTTTCTCACTACGTTTGCTCTAGTGGATAATGTGTGTCCTCAGAGAGGCCTTACAGTACGCTATTGCGGAATGAGTCTGTCCGCAATCGCCCCATAATTGGAGCTTTGCTCACCTATGGAAAATTCTTGGACTGCAGGCATACAAAATTCAACTTGTATAACAATCAAAGCCGAAYGACCATCAGTGAATGGGTCTAAAATGAGATGGTGAACGATCCTGATTTTCATAAGAAAAATTTGTTCAGCAATAAAGCCCATTTTTGTGTGAATAGGTATGATGATAATCCACAAGTAATTGTTGATACGACGTTACATCCTCAAATAGTCGCTGWTTGGTGTGTTCTATGGGCATATTTCTTGAAAAATAAAGGCGGTCGTATTGTAACGATCAATCGAGAACGCTATAGCGCCATAATTAATTACTCTTTCGTGTCTGAGTTGGAAGATGAAATCTTGACAGAGCAAGTTGTCAAAGTTGTATGTTGGAAAGGGTGAGGTGAAACTTTCTAACCCATTGAAGCAACTCGACAGACTTTCCTTCGGCGATAAAGAAGACATCGCTCAAAGTGGCATTAGCCGTCCCAACAAATTTGTGGGGGACTTCAAGCTTTTAATCGAGTTCTAATCTTATTTTATGTATAGGACTTTTAGGTAACTCAGCTGACTGGCGTTCTAAGTTGTCGGAGAAACTTCTCAGGATCGACCTCATAAAGTAACCTAACCTGTTTCTTCTGCGATAGAAAGTGACAGACTTTGATTATTCAAAATTTTTCTACGATAAAGAAATTTTGATTTAAAAAATATATTAAATTTGAAAATAGTCCGTTATTTCACTGCCATTTCTAATTATTTATGCGAGTTCGTAAATGCGAACGTGTTCTTTAAAACGGCAATTCTATTATTTCCATTTTATTATGCAATCAAACAAATCTAAATTAACTGCTCGCGGCATACTTCGGGCCTTAACACAGTTTGTACGCACATAATTATCGTATTTTCATTTGAAAATTGCACTTACGCTGGCATTTAGCATTTAAAGAGAAAAATTAGTTAATTAAAATTTTCCAACTTTCACTATTCTCCAACGGCCAACAAAGAAATAAATTCACAAGCAACCTAAAGGCCTGTTCATATGCACACGCACACACTTACTCATACATACTTGTTTTACTGCTAATTCATTGCCTGTGGCACATTCGTCTTGGCGTCTGTGGCCTTTGTGCGAAAGGCGTTGCGAAACTTAGCGCCAAAGTGTGTTGGTCATTAAAAGCCGTATCGCTTGGTGGGGGTGAACGAGTACACGTGCTGCTCGCAGTGGGGAGGGTGGGCGTGAGCAAAGTCTAGTTAATCTTTAGCCACTTACAGAGGGCAAATAATTTWTTTTTCTGCTGAGACAGAATGCTTCACATTGGTTAGAAGTAATMAAGAGCAAATCGAAAATTTACGACTTGGAATGCGCATAAAAAATAAATAAGTGCTGTAACAGTATTCTAATGACATTCAATTGAACGGTAATCTCTTAGAAACATGCTTTAACCGACCATTTCCTGTTCTAAGATTTCAAAAGAAKGCTCGCTGGGAAGAAATGATCGTCGATTGTAARCTGATCGCCAAAACTGAGGCCTATTTGGAAGCAARTGATAGATGGTACTAGAAAAATGGTAAGGTACAGCTGGTGAGTCGTTTTACCACAACCTAAGTTCTCTATTATCTTCCCTTCCAAACAAAATAAGCTTAACGGTATTTTATAGAGCGTACACAGATGTAGCCTTATGCCTAGAGCAAACGTTATTGTAAACCTGTGTTTATCTGCAACAAATCTAGTCTAACATAGTTWTATATGCTCTCAGTTCAGACTCTATGAAATGGTGTTCTCTTGTAGGTTAGTATTTTTAAAGAAGGAATATAAGGATGGCGTCCCGTATCACTGAAGCTTACCGATTTTCGATCCTGTTGGAGTGATGTTTCATAAAATTTTGGCACGCTTCATTAAAATAAGATTCCCTCCAATCATGCAGAGATTGCAACGAAGCAGAGATCTCTAGCCTACTTTCTCAGTAGCACTTCGAACAATAGCAACATTTCTGGAAAATTTCTTTCGCATATGCCATAGATTTTTAAGAAGTCCTTTCTCAACAAAGTGCTTGCTACCTTTTGACAAATTCTCAATGAAACAACTGAAATATATATATGTGACCTGGTCTACGGAAAGGGGGCTTAGGTGTCAAAAAATCAATTTTCACTTTTTAGTTGATTCGGATGGAAGACGAGATRCTTTTTTTTTAACAGCTGTTTCCCAGAAAACTAGTTTTCGCACGTTAGCTTCCTTTCTGTAGACCAGGTCACATATGTAGACATAAGGAGTTTGTAATTTTTTTTTTATTTTTTCTGATTTTCAAAATGATTTTTCGAGCTTTCTWTCTTAAAGAATGGGCTTGATTTTTTCGTATAAAATGGACAGCTTTTATCTCATGTTTGGATTTTGAGGAGACGTTTGTGAGAAGTAAAAATACAGTGTCATCAGGCAGAATTCCAATTTCTATTCACGGCCCAACACATGAAGAAATATCCATATACGCATTTGAGTACATACAATCTCTGGCTCTCTTCCTAATCTGAATCGCATGCACATACAATAAAGCATTTTACATTTGTATGCAATTTGTTGTCGGCTGCTCATTAATTACATTTACCGAAGGGGGAAACTCAAGAGCATGTTTGGTGGAAACAAAGGCGTATCTTTGTAAATTGGAAACGCCAACACGGTACGTGACTGAATACTGAAGCAGCAATCGAGGAATAAAATGGACCACCTACACGCACTACATGCCCATGGTGCATTTAAATAACTCCTTTAAGGATTTGCGGTGGGTGTGGCACATACACGTACATACGTAARCATGAAAGCGAATACCCTTGCGTAAATGACTGGGCCAAATGTAGTACCACACCATACCATATATGTATGTTGGTCACACATACTAATACACGATAAATTTAAATTTGGTGTGCAAAAGTAATTAGAAATGTAGCGACGAAGACACACAGGTTTTACTTGCAAAAGGGAAAAGATAGGGACTGTTTAAAAAGTAATTTACAAATGCTAATTTTCTGATTTTGGGGTTTCACTACCTTTCGTATTTAATACACTATTTGAAATAAGAAAAGGTGTCGCYTTCGGTCTATCTCTTGAGTCTGCTCGCTTGAGGACGCTTCGAGTGGATATTAAACTGTTAGTATTAATGTTTTCCGTCTTTGCACTATTGGCTCTTAAAGTTGAGGCCACTGACTCCGAAATTCGCGAGTAAATTGTAATAATTTCGGTCYATTCTTGGATCGCATAACATTCCATGATGAAATGGCAAACCTTACTGAAGAGAAATGTCAAAATGCCGGGAAAAAATATGGCGTGGATTGCTGTCCCTGTCGGTGTACTTTTGTAGCGTCCCTACTAAAACCCCCCTTACAATATTTCCATTTCCCATAAGATATGTTTATGTCCGACATACAACTTTAAATTAAAGCGTATTTTTAGGAAATTTTATAAAGATAAACAGTTGTGATTACGTTTTAAAAATGATTTTGAGAAATGATCGCCATGGCAGACTCAAATAAAATCTAACCGAGCGGCWCAATTTCCAACCACTTTTTGCAGTAATGGAAGCCGTATGTCAGCAGTCAACTCCGACTTATCTGCGTAGAAAATCGACATCATAAAACCTCACAAATGATACACCATACGTGTTGTATCGTACGATCTTGGAGGATACAGTACAGACCGAKGACGCGAGATAATGTGTTCAAGGAAAGTTCCTTAAAAAATAGATTGTTTCGTTATTTGTCAGACGTCCACAGCCACCAGCTTGGGCACGAAAATGTCATTAATCTTAGCTCTATAACTTTCCCCATTGACATTATGGCCGCCTTCATTTTTGAAGAAATATGAACCAAGGATTTCCTGCGCCTATAGAGCATACCAAACGGTTACTTTACGAGAATGTAACGGCGGGTCAAAAACGATTTGTGAACTAATATTGCAGTAAATTGAAAATTATTTTTACATAATGTATCCATCAATCAAAAGTGAGTTTAATCTTCGATACTCTGCTCCATAGCAGCAATAGTTACATACATAGTCCTAAAAACAAGCACTACGAAAAGCGAAGAATCACTTCTCAAAATTTGAACATCCTCATTAATTTACGAAGCATGTCCATTTTACATCGAGTCATGGATAGGCTGGAGATTGTTGTGTGATGAAATCTCAAAATGCTGAGCAGTACAACTAAAACATAGCCCCCTTGGGCGGAATATATATTAGCATGGTGTCAACAGATCAATTAAATAGTCAATASCTTTTCACAGTAAAACAGACTTTTTTGGTGATACACCGATCATAGCGACCCTCCAACTTTTTKATATAAKTTTTTAGTACGATTTSTCTTTTGTTTCATAATAGGTCTCGGCTTCGGTGATTTTATTTCCATTCCACGAAGCTTTTTTCCCAGCGAGCATTCTTTTGAGATATAAATTAGAATAGAAATGAAGAATACTTAGGATGCGGTAGCAA